TCGTCTCCACATAAGCTTTACCTACAAATTAAAAACACTTGAAAATAAGTTAGTATAAAATATAGAAAAAAAAAAAATAATGCATGCATGCATGTCCCGGGACCGACGAAAAAATAAATCTATTTCTATATGTATAATGCTAAATTAAATTAAATGCATAAATATAAAAGGAAAGGGACGGATTACTCCCTATGATATATTCGGTCGTCCGATCATCTGGCCACTCCTTCTCGGTTGCATCTAAAAAGATTTAAAATAGATATTAGTATATATGTATATGAAACAAAAAAATAATATTAAAATCACTTACCATGGATTTGAAATCGAGATCGAAGGATCTTTGCGGATCGCCTCGTCTCCACGTAAGCTTTACCTACAAATTAAAAACACTTGAAAATAAGTTAGTATAAAATATAGAAACAAAAAATTTAATGCATGCATGTCCCGGGACCTACGTAAAAATAAATCTATTTCTATATGCATAATGCTAAAGTAAATTAAATGCATAAATGTAAAAGTAAATGGACCGATTTCTCCCTATGATGTATTCGGTCGTCCGATCATCCGGCCACTCCCTCTCGTATGCATCTAAAAAGATTTAAAATAGATATTAGTATATATGTATAGGAAAAAAAATAATATTAAAATCACTTACCTTGGATTCGAAATCGAGATCGAAGGATCTTTGCGGATCCCCTCGTCTCCACATAAGCTTTACCTACAAATTAAAAACACTTGAAAATAAGTTAGTATAAAATATAGAAACAAAAAAATTAATGCATGCATGTCCCGGGACCGACGAAAAAATAAATCTATTTCTATATGCATAATGCTAAATTGAATTAAATGCATAAATGTAAAAGGAAAGGGACGGATTACTCCCTATGATGTATTCGGTCGTCCGATCATCCGGCCACTCCCTCTCGGATGCATCTAAAAAGATTTAAAATAGATATTAGTATATATGTATATGAAACAAAAAAATAATATTAAAATCACTTACCTTGGATTTGAAATCGAGATCGAAGGATCTTTGCGGATCGCCTCGTCTCCACGTAAGCTTTACCTACAAATTAAAAACACTTGAAAATAAGTTAGTATAAAATATAGAAACAAAAAAATTAATGCATGCATGTCCCGGGACCGACGAAAAAATAAATCTATTTCTATATGCATAATGCTAAATTAAATTAAATGCATAAATGTAAAAGGAAAGGGACGGATTACTCCCTATGATGTCTTCGGTCGTCCGATCATCCGGCCACTCCCTCTCGGATGCATCTAAAAGATTTAAAATAGATATTAGTATATATGTATATGAAACAAAAAAATAATATTAAAATCACTTACCTTGGATTTGAAATCGAGATCGAAGGATCTTTGCGGATCGCCTCGTCTCCACGTAAGCTTTACCTACAAATTAAAAACACTTGAAAATAAGTTAGTACAAAATATAGAAAAAAAAAAATTAATGCGTGCATGTCCCGGGACCGACGTAAAAATAAATCTATTTCTATATGCATAATGCTAAAGTAAGTTAAATGCATAAATGTAAAAGTAAATGGACCGATTTCTCCCTATGATGTATTCGGTCGTCCGATCATCCGGCCACTTCCTCTCGTATGCATCTAAAAAGATTTAAAATAAATATTAATATATATGTATAAGAAACAAAATAATAATATTAAAATCACTTACCTTGGATTTGAAATGGAGATCGAAGGATCTTTGCGGATCTCCTCGCCTCCACGGAAGCTTTACCTACAAATTAAAAACACTTGAAAATAAGTTAGTATAAAATATAGAAACAAAAAATTTAATGCATGCATGTCCCGGGACCGACGTAAAAATAAATCTATTTCTATATGCATAATGCTAAAGTAAATTAAATGCCTAAATGTAAAAGTAAATGGACCGATTTCTCCCTATGATGTATTCGGTCGTCCGATCATCCGGCCACTCCCTCTCGTATGCATCTAAAAAGATTTAAAATAGATATTAATATATATATATGTATAGGAAACAAAAAAATAATATTAAAATCACTTACCTTGGATTTGAAATCGAGATCGAATGATCTTTGCGGATCCCCTCGTCTCCACATAAGATTTACCTACAAATTAAAAACACTTGAAAATAAGTTAGTATAAAATATAGAAACAAAAAATTTAATGCATGCATGTCCCGGGACCGACGTAAAAATAAATCTATTTCTATATGCATAATGCTAAAGTAAATTAAATGCATAAATGTAAAAGTAAATGGACCGATTTCTCCCTATGATGTATTCGGTCGTCCGATCATCCGGCCAATCCCTCTCGTACGTATCTAAAAAGATTTAAAATAGATATTAATATATATGTATAGGAAAAAAAAAATAATATTAAAATCACATACCTTGGATTTGAAATGGAGATCGAATGATCTTTGCGGATCCCCTCATCTCCACATAAGCTTTACCTACAAATTAAAACACTTGAAAATAAGTTAGTATAAAATATAGAAAAAAAAAATAATGCATGCATGCATGTCCCGGGACCGACGAAAAAATAAATCTATTTCTATATGCATAATGCTAAATTAAATTAAATGCATAAATATAAAAGGAAAGGGACGGATTACTCCCTATGATGTATTCGGTCGTCCGATCATCTGGCCACTCCTTCTCGGTTGCATCTAAAAAGATTTAAAATAGATATTAGTATATATGTATATGAAACAAAAAAATAATATTAAAATCACTTACCTTGGATTTGAAATCGAGATCGAAGGATCTTTGCGGATCGCCTCGTCTCCACGTAAGCTTTACCTACAAATTAAAAACACTTGAAAATAAGTTAGTATAAAATATAGAAACAAAAAATTTAATGCATGCATGTCCCGGGACCTACGTAAAAATAAATCTATTTCTATATGCATAATGCTAAAGTAAATTAAATGCATAAATGTAATAGTAAATGTACCGATTTCTCCCTATGATGTATTCGGTCGTCCGATCATCCGGCCAATCCCTCTCGTACGTATCTAAAAAGATTTAAAATAGATATTAATATATATGTATAGGAAAAAAAATAATATTAAAATCACATACCTTGGATTTGAAATGGAGATCGAATGATCTTTGCGGATCCCCTCGTCTCCACATAAGCTTTACCTACAAATTAAAAACACTTGAAAATAAGTTAGTATAAAAATATAAAAAAAAAAAAATAATGCATGCATGCATGTCCCGGGACCGACGAAAAAATAAATCTATTTCTATATGCATAATGCTAAATTAAATTAAATGCATAAATATAAAAGGAAAGGGACGGATTACTCCCTATGATATATTCGGTCGTCCGATCATCTGGCCACTCCTTCTCGGTTGCATCTAAAAAGATTTAAAATAGATATTAGTATATATGTATATGAAACAAAAAAATAATATTAAAATCACTTACCTTGGATTTGAAATCGAGATCGAAGGATCTTTGCGGATCGCCTCGTCTCCACGTAAGCTTTACTTACAAATTAAAAACACTTGAAAATAAGTTAGTATAAAATATAGAAACAAAAAATTTAATGCATGCATGTCCCGGGACCTACGTAAAAATAAATCTATTTCTATATGCATAATGCTAAAGTAAATTAAATGCATAAATGTAAAAGTAAATGGACCGATTTCTCCCTATGATGTATTCGGTCGTCCGATCATCCGGCCACTCCCTCTCGTATGCATCTAAAAAGATTTAAAATAGATATTAGTATATATGTATAGGAAAAAAAAATAATATTAAAATCACTTACCTTGGATTCGAAATCGAGATCGAAGGATCTTTGCGGATCCCCTCGTCTCCACATAAGCTTTACCTACAAATTAAAAACACTTGAAAATAAGTTAGTATAAAATATAGAAACAAAAAAATTAATGCATGCATGTCCCGGGACCGACGAAAAAATAAATCTATTTCTATATGCATAATGCTAAATTGAATTAAATGCATAAATGTAAAAGGAAAGGGACGGATTACTCCCTATGATGTATTCGGTCGTCCGATCATCCGGCCACTCCCTCTCGGATGCATCTAAAAAGATTTAAAATAGATATTAGTATATATGTATATGAAACAAAAAAATAATATTAAAATCACTTACCTTGGATTTGAAATCGAGATCGAAGGATCTTTGCGGATCGCCTCGTCTCCACGTAAGCTTTACCTACAAATTAAAAACACTTGAAAATAAGTTAGTATAAAATATAGAAACAAAAAAATTAATGCATGCATGTCCCGGGACCGACGAAAAAATAAATCTATTTCTATATGCATAATGCTAAATTAAATTAAATGCATAAATGTAAAAGGAAAGGGACGGATTACTCCCTATGATGCCTTCGGTCGTCCGATCATCCGGCCACTCCCTCTCGGATGCATCTAAAAGATTTAAAATAGATATTAGTATATATGTATAGGAAACAAAAAAATAATATTAAAATCACTTACCTTGGATTTGAAATCGAGATCGAAGGATCTTTGCGGATCGCCTCGTCTCCACGTAAGCTTTACCTACAAATTAAAAACACTTGAAAATAAGTTAGTACAAAATATAGAAAAAAAAAAAATTAATGCGTGCATGTCCCGGGACCGACGTAAAAATAAATCTATTTCTATATGCATAATGCTAAAGTAAGTTAAATGCATAAATGTAAAAGTAAATGGACCGATTTCTCCCTATGATGTATTCGGTCGTCCGATCATCTGGCCACTCCTTCTCGGTTGCATCTAAAAAGATTTAAAATAGATATTAGTATATATGTATATGAAACAAAAAAATAATATTAAAATCACTTACCTTGGATTTGAAATCGAGATCGAAGGATCTTTGCGGATCGCCTCGTCTCCACGTAAGCTTTACCTACAAATTAAAAACACTTGAAAATAAGTTAGTATAAAATATAGAAACAAAAAATTTAATGCATGCATGTCCCGGGACCTACGTAAAAATAAATCTATTTCTATATGCATAATGCTAAAGTAAATTAAATGCATAAATGTAAAAGTAAATGGACCGATTTCTCCCTATGATGTATTCGGTCGTCCGATCATCCGGCCACTCCCTCTCGTATGCATCTAAAAAGATTTAAAATAGATATTAGTATATATGTATAGGAAAAAAAAATAATATTAAAATCACTTACCTTGGATTCGAAATCGAGATCGAAGGATCTTTGCGGATCCCCTCGTCTCCACATAAGCTTTACCTACAAATTAAAAACACTTGAAAATAAGTTAGTATAAAATATAGAAACAAAAAATTTAATGCATGCATGTCCCGGGACCGACGAAAAAATAAATCTATTTCTATATGCATAATGCTAAATTGAATTAAATGCATAAATGTAAAAGGAAAGGGACGGATTACTCCCTATGATGTATTCGGTCGTCCGATCATCCGGCCACTCCCTCTCGGATGCATCTAAAAAGATTTAAAATAGATATTAGTATATATGTATATGAAACAAAAAAATAATATTAAAATCACTTACCTTGGATTTGAAATCGAGATCGAAGGATCTTTGCGGATCGCCTCGTCTCCACGTAAGCTTTACCTACAAATTAAAAACACTTGAAAATAAGTTAGTATAAAATATAGAAACAAAAAAATTAATGCATGCATGTCCCGGGACCGACGAAAAAATAAATCTATTTCTATATGCATAATGCTAAATTAAATTAAATGCATAAATGTAAAAGGAAAGGGACGGATTACTCCCTATGATGCCTTCGGTCGTCCGATCATCCGGCCACTCCCTCTCGGATGCATCTAAAAGATTTAAAATAGATATTAGTATATATGTATAGGAAACAAAAAAATAATATTAAAATCACTTACCTTGGATTTGAAATCGAGATCGAAGGATCTTTGCGGATCGCCTCGTCTCCACGTAAGCTTTACCTACAAATTAAAAACACTTGAAAATAAGTTAGTACAAAATATAGAAAAAAAAAAAATTAATGCGTGCATGTCCCGGGACCGACGTAAAAATAAATCTATTTCTATATGCATAATGCTAAAGTAAGTTAAATGCATAAATGTAAAAGTAAATGGACCGATTTCTCCCTATGATGTATTCGGTCGTCCGATCATCCGGCCACTTCCTCTCGTATGCATCTAAAAAGATTTAAAATAAATATTAATATATATGTATAAGAAACAAAAAAATAATATTAAAATCACTTACCTTGGATTTGAAATGGAGATCGAAGGATCTTTGCGGATCGCCTCGCCTCCACGGAAGCTTTACCTACAAATTAAAAACACTTGAAAATAAGTTAGTATAAAATATAGAAACAAAAAATTTAATGCATGCATGTCCCGGGACCGACGTAAAAATAAATCTATTTCTATATGCATAATGCTAAAGTAAATTAAATGCCTAAATGTAAAAGTAAATGGACCGATTTCTCCCTATGATGTATTCGGTCGTCCGATCATCCGGCCACTCCCTCTCGTATGCATCTAAAAAGATTTAAAATAGATATTATATATATATATGTATAGGAAACAAAAAAATAATATTAAAATCACTTACCTTGGATTTGAAATCGAGATCGAATGATCTTTGCGGATCCCCTCGTCTCCACATAAGATTTACCTACAAATTAAAAACACTTGAAAATAAGTTAGTATAAAATATAGAAACAAAAAATTTAATGCATGCATGTCCCGGGACCGACGTAAAAATAAATCTATTTCTATATGCATAATGCTAAAGTAAATTAAATGCATAAATGTAAAAGTAAATGGACCGATTTCTCCCTATGATGTATTCGGTTGTCCGATCATCCGGCCAATCCCTCTCGTACGTATCTAAAAAGATTTAAAATAGATATTAATATATATGTACAGGAAAAAAAAAATAATATTAAAATCACATACCTTGGATTTGAAATGGAGATCGAATGATCTTTGCGGATCCCCTCATCTCCACATAAGCTTTACCTACAAATTAAAAACACTTGAAAATAAGTTAGTATAAAATATAGAAAAAAAAAAAATAATGCATGCATGCATGTCCCGGGACCGACGAAAAAATAAATCTATTTCTATATGCATAATGCTAAATTAAATTAAATGCATAAATATAAAAGGAAAGGGACGGATTACTCCCTATGATGTATTCGGTCGTCCGATCATCTGGCCACTCCTTCTCGGTTGCATCTAAAAAGATTTAAAATAGATATTAGTATATATGTATATGAAACAAAAAAATAATATTAAAATCACTTACCTTGGATTTGAAATCGAGATCGAAGGATCTTTGCGGATCGCCTCGTCTCCACGTAAGCTTTACCTACAAATTAAAAACACTTGAAAATAAGTTAGTATAAAATATAGAAACAAAAAATTTAATGCATGCATGTCCCGGGACCTACGTAAAAATAAATCTATTTCTATATGCATAATGCTAAAGTAAATTAAATGCATAAATGTAAAAGTAAATGGACCGATTTCTCCCTATGATGTATTCGGTCGTCCGATCATCCGGCAACTCCCTCTCGTATGCATCTAAAAAGATTTAAAATAGATATTAGTATATATGTATAGGAAAAAAAAAATAATATTAAAATCACTTACCTTGGATTCGAAATCGAGATCAAAGGATCTTTGCGGATCCCCTCGTCTCCACATAAGCTTTACCTACAAATTAAAAACACTTGAAAATAAGTTAGTATAAAATATAGAAACAAAAAAATTAATGCATGCATGTCCCGGGACCGACGAAAAAATAAATCTATTTCTATATGCATAATGCTAAATTGAATTAAATGCATAAATGTAAAAGGAAAGGGACGGATTACTCCCTATGATGTATTCGGTCGTCCGATCATCCGGCCACTCCCTCTCGGATGCATCTAAAAAGATTTAAAATAGATATTAGTATATATGTATATGAAACAAAAAAATAATATTAAAATCACTTACCTTGGATTTGAAATCGAGATCGAAGGATCTTTGCGGATCGCCTCGTCTCCACGTAAGCTTTACCTACAAATTAAAAACACTTGAAAATAAGTTAGTATAAAATATAGAAACAAAAAATTTAATGCATGCATGTCCCGGGACCGACGTAAAAATAAATCTATTTCTATATGCATAATGCTAAAGTAAATTAAATGCATAAATGTAAAAGTAAATGGACCGATTTCTCCCTATGATGTATTCGGTCGTCCGATCTTCCGGCCACTCCCTCTCGTATGCATCTAAAAAGATTTAAAATAGATATTAGTATATATGTATAGGAAACAAAAAAATAATATTAAAATCACGTACCTTGGATTTGAAATCGAGATCGAAGGATCTTTGCGGATCGCCTCGTCTCCACGTAAGCTTTACCTACAAATTAAAAACACTTGAAAATAAGTTAGTATATAATATAGAAACAAAAAAATTAATGCATGCATGCATGTCCCGGGACGGACGAAAAAATAAATCTATTTCTATATGCATTATGCTAAATTAAATTAAATGCATAAATGTAAAAGGAAAGGGTGGGATTACTCCCTATGATGTATTCGGTCGTCCGATCATCCGGCCACTCCCTCTCGTATGCATCTAAAAAAGATTTAAAATAGATATTAGTATATATGTATTGGAAACAAAAAAATAATATTAAAATCACTTACCTTGGATATGAAATCGAGATCGAAGGATCTTTGCGGATCCCCTCGTCTCCACATAAGCTTTACCTACAAATTAAAAACACTTGAAAATAAGTTAGTATAAAATATAGAAACAAAAAATTTAATGCATGCATGTCCCGGGACCGACGTAAAAATAAATCTATTTCTATATGCATAATGCTAAATTAAATTAAATGCACAAATGTAAAAGGAAAGGGACGGATTACTCCCTCTTATGTATTCGGTCGTCCGATCATCCGACCGCTCACTCTCGTACGCATCTAAAAAACATTAAAAATGGATATTAGTATATATGTGAAGGAAACAACTAAATAATATTAAAGTCACTTACCTTGGATTTGAAATCGAGGTCGAAGGACTTTGCGGATCCCCTCGTTTCCCCATATGCTTTACCTATAAATTAAAAACACTTAAAAATAAGTTAGTATAAAATATAGCAAAAAAATTAATGCATGCAAGTCCCGGGACGTAAAAGTAAATCTATTTCTATATGCATAAAGCAAAAATAAATTAAATGCATAAATGTAAAAGGAAAGGGACGAATTACTCCCTTCGGTCATCCGATCATCCGGCCACTCCTTTTCGTATCCATCTAAAAATATTAAAAATAGATATTAGTATCTATGTGTATAGGAAACAACAAAATAATTTTAAAATCACATGCTTAAGTGAAACACCAAATACTAGTCAAATCCAAAACACACATTATTAGGTACATCATAACCAAAAGTTTCAAGATTGGACTCTAAAATTTTCCAAGAAAAGTGTCATACTATAATTTCTTGAATGATTAACTCAAGACAAAAAGAAATCCTCAGAAGAAAGCAACAATTAATTTGTATTTTACCAGCAGCAAAAAAGTGTAGAATGAAAACCTCTCAGAGCCAAAATGCAATCGACAACATAAAGTAGTCACAAAATGTTCATATTGACTTACACCACAGCATATGATTCGAATCTTCAAAATTCTCCCACAGCTACCAAATCCAATCCAATCCAATCCACCAATTGCCCCTCTTCTTGTTAAATCCTCCATTGAAACTACAAATCATCAACTGTTTTCACACCATTTTTCATATCACAGAGCTATCAAGAAAATGAAATTTATTAAAAAAGAGAAATACGTACTCAAAGATTTATTTCTTGAACACGTACGTAAAAAGAGAGAAAACCCTAAATCTCTAACGCAATCAAATCAAATCAGGAGAGGAATGGAGGATTGCTGCTAAATATATGAAAATGGTAAAGCACAGGCTAGGCTTGGTCACTTAATTACTCAGCTATTATTTCTTTAGACCAAAAACTCTTTGGTTCGGAATCACGCCGAAGCTGAGGCTCGGGATTTGTAACGTCACACAAATTTGAAATATTCAATTTAGTGGGGACGGTTGATCTGAACCCTTCATCTTTAGTCCACGTTGCCATTCAGTTAAAAATTATTACTTTCATACTTTTTGCCAAAACAATATTATAAAAATATATTTTATAGGAAATAATTTTTTTTTTTTTTTTTTTTAAAATAAATTATAATGACATTAATTTGTATTTTACCAATTCAAGACTTCACCAAAATTACTGCAGAATGAAATTACCACCGGAGCACTAAAAGTAAAGCTCAAAACTTACTCGTCGAGAACACAAACACAAGTGTCGACAGCTGGATCCCCGAAATTCTGCAGAACCCTCTTCACAAAACCTTCTTCATTATGCTTAACGGTTACTTACCTAATATAAAATTTACCATATATAATTTCACATGTGTATATTAAAATTAAAATAATTTCTTTTTTTAATATTATGTGTATTTTAAAATTAAAATCAAAATCAAAATCATTATGCTTAACGGCTACTTACCTAATTTAAAAACTTACCAAAATTATATTACCCTCCTATCTAATCTAATAAAAATTAAAATAATTTCTTTTTTTTAATATTATATGTATATATATATAGTTTTATATTTAAATTATATTTTATTGCTTCTATAAAAATATAATATTTTATTTGAATATACTGCTATAATTACATATATTTATTTATAATCATTAATTTTATTATATTACTAATGATATTTTAAATAGATTAATAATTTAAAATTTATTTTACTGGTGTATTAATTTTGTATTTTTAGTTTAAAGTAGTGTAAAAAAAAAATACCCCCTCCGTCTCAACTAATTTGTCCATTTTAGCTGGGGCACGAAGTTTTAGTTATGATGTAATTAGTAAGTAATTAAGAAATATATTAATACAAATAATTATGGTATAATAAAAATAATTATAGATTAAAATAACTGAATAGTTAATTAAAATAAAAAAAATTATAAATTATGAATTTTAAAATATGATTAAAGTGTGTAATTATATTTCCAAAAAATAAAATAGATAATTTATATAGGACGGATGGATATAGAAAAAATTGATAAATTAAGTGGGACGGATGGAGGAATATTTTATGTTAAACTATTATATTTTTAGTGTATTGAAAATAGAATATTTTTAAAAATAAAAAAAACTCAAAATATATTTAATAATAATTCAAAATTAATTTTATATTATTTACATAAAAATAATTAAATAAAAGCATTACTTTTTTATTTTATGAATGCAGATTGGAAATTCGGAAGTGTTACTTCAGTGGATGAAGAGTCGCATAATAATAATAATAATAATAATAATAATAATAATAATAATAATAATAAGAAGGAGGAGGGTAAACTGTTTTTCAATCTCGTAACTGGACCTTTATCATTTTAGTCTTGTAAGTGGAGCATGTCGCAAACTAGTTCTATAAGTAAAAAAATTTCGCTATTTTAGTCCTCCGGCGCCGGAGACGCCCGCGTGGCTCGCCGGAGGTGACGTGTCCGCCAGGTCAGCGACACCTGGCGCTGACCCCTAGCGGACATGTGGATTTTTTTATTTATTTTTATTCTTTTTAAATTTTTTTAAAACTTATTTTTAAAACTTATTTTTAATTTATTTTTAATTTTATTTATATATTTTTAATTTTTTAATTTGATTTAATTTAAAAAAATAAAAAAAAAATTGAAAAAAAATAAATAAATCCACATGTCCGCCAGGTGTCTGACCTGGCGGGACACCTGGCGGACACGTCA